AGGCTCGGAGCAGCAGCAGCAGAAGAAGTAGAAGAAAAAAAACACAAATCGGGCTGAGTGGAGGTTGGTGATTTATGCGTTTGGAGAAAATGTCAACACCCGACTCAGAGTAGTAACAGTTGTAAACAAGTAACGTAAAGTATTGCATCACGTTACTTTACTGCGTTTTTTAAAAATAGATCCTAAAAATAAAAACTATACTTTTGTTTATATTAGGGCTGTGTAATTTCTAATCAATATAATTTATCTGGATTAATAGTTATTCAGAATGTTTTTATGCACGTAAATTTAAAAAAGAGGAAAAATTATCTTTAAAAATACACAAAAAATACAGAAACTTTTATTGACAAAATGACACAAACATTCTTTTTATTTATTTATTTATTTATTCACCCCCCCCCCACACACACACACACACACACACACACACATACACACACACACAGATTTGGATATTATAGTAATTCGCTGAATCTATTTTTCTGAACCAACAATAATTTGCTTTTACTTAACGAATTATGAGATTTTTGTTTGTTGATTTTTTTCACCTTTTCCCGCTCTGTCCTCTGTGCGTGACGCCATCGGGACTTTCTGGACGTGATTTCTGATGATGGTGATAAAAGTGAACACGGGTCAGCGCCATCTTCAACTGGGATTACAAACTTTATCCATAACCCACTTTATCGCAGCATTTGCACATTTTAAATTCATAACGTGACATGAAAACACCTTGATGCTTCTTGCGTCACCCTCAATGTGTTTTTTTTTATTCAGAGATACATGTCTATATTGCTCTGGTTTTATTTCAATTTTAATGCGGAAGTAGAAATATTTTTAACGTTTTTATTTTATGTGTTTAACGAATTAGCCTTTTGTAGCTTTTGAAAACCTAATTTTTGTGTCTCATGATATTTCTCCACACATTCATGACCCATGCATTACCCATTTAAATCCATCATTAATATGTGTGTATGTATATGTTACTCTGCTCAGTTTGGCCTGGTTTAACGTGCGTAAAAGAACGTATTGTCGCATTTTACGCATTTTACACACGGCGCTGCTGCGTAATCCACAATGTCTCAGATATCGGAATGAAACCGTTTCTATTGGACAAAATATCTTTAAAAATACAATCACACACTCCTCCGTGTCCCCAAATGCTCCCGTTTGAACCGGAGACAGAGTAATGTGACCGTGAAGTCCGACGGCCTCGCGGATTGTGATGTCGCATGAGGCCTGTCTTTCTGCGGCGGAGTTGGATTACGCGCCATGAGGCTGACCTCGCTTTGGAACAGACGTTTTTGGGTGTATAAATCTAATTATCAGTGGGTTTGTGTCCTGTTTCTGCCCCCACAGTTCCTCGGAGCTTCCCGGCCGCTCTGCTTTCCATCTGAGGCTAAAGAGAAGGCATCTGTCGGTGAGTGCAGGATGGTTTTTATAGAACTGTGGACTTTTCTGCGTTTCTTTCTGCGATTCTTTGGATGTATTTGCGCACGTGCCAAACAAATCTCATTGGACATCAGTGCATTTTGTATCAATGCAGGTATAGTGGCAGTATTGTTGTTGTATAGTTGTAAATACATGAAGCAGAGGCCTGTAGCAGCAGTATCATAGTTGTTGCAGTTGTTATTGCAGTAGTAGTATTAGTTGTTTTTTGTTGTTGAAATAGTAGTTGTAGTAGTAGTATAAGCAATAGTAGTACTAGTTGTTGTTGTTGTAGTAATAGTAGTAGTAGTGGTAGTTTTGGTATTAGCAGAAGTAGTATAGAAGCAGTCATGTAGCAGCACAAGCCTATAGCAGCAGAAGTACCATAGTAGTAATGGTAGTAGTAATGGTACAGTAGTAGTAGTAATGGTAGTATAGTAATATTGGCCGCATATGTTTTTCTGAAGTGCAAATATTTCTTCCCCATGATGATAACATATTCCCGGTGCTTAGGTGCACAGTCACGGTCCTGTATCAGACGGTTCTAAGAATAATAATAATAATAATAATAAATCGGTCACGTGCTCACGCAACTGCAGTCAGTCCATGGAGCAGTTATTAAAACACCTCTGACCACGTGACGCTGGGAACGCGCAGGATTATGGACGCAATAACAATAACACTGAATGTGGGCTACTGTGTTCTCACCGAGAGAGAGAGAGGGAGGAGAGAGAGAGAGAGAGAGGAGAGAGAGAAAGAGAGGAGAGAGGAGAGAAGAGAGAAGAGAGAGAGAGAGAGGAGAGAGAGAAAGGGAGGAGAGAGGAGAGAGAGAGGAGAGGGGGAGACAGAGAGACAGACAGAGAGAGAGAGAAAGACAGACAGAGAGAGAGTGAGAGAGAGAGAGACAGAGAGAGAGAGAGAGAGAAAGACAGACAGAGAGAGAGAGAGAGCCAGAGAGAGAGAGAAAGACAGACAGAGAGAGAGTGAGAGAGAGAGAGACAGAGAGAGAGAAAGACAGACAGAGAGAGAGAGAGACAGAGAGAGAGAGAGAGAGAGAGACAGAGAGACAGAGAGAGAGAAACAGAGAGAGAGACAGAGAGAGAGAGGAGCTGGCGTTAGAATTGAGTCTGCAGTCAGAGGACATTCCTTCGTGCCATCTCCATTGGCCTAGTTTTTTTTTCTTTTTTTCCCCGCGTCAAAAACTCACAGGCAAAAAATGCAGTTGTGAAACCCGAGCCGGACCAGATACACCGCGTCTGTCTCCGCGGATCAGGAAGTGTTTCAGCGTGGGGGAAAATGTCCACAAGTGTGATTTCAAACGACTAAAATGTGTGTCTCGGTTTGAGGAGAGAGAAGATAAAATATGCTCGTGTTCTTCAGTGGAAAGTTTCAAAGTCTGAAGCTAAGTGTGTTTTAGTGTATTTGAAAAGGGCATTTGCAAAACACATTTCTAAGTTTTGAAAATATGTCAAAATGCCGTATTCGTGAATCTAAATGTTTTGTTATTAACAGTAAATTGGAAAGAAATGGAAGGAAATTTACTCAAGAAAGAGCGTTTTGGAGGTTTTGTGGAAATAATAATAAGTGCATTACATAGATTATTATTATTATTATTATTATTATTATTATTATTATTATTATTATTATTATTATTATTAGTTGTAGTAGTAGCAGTAGTATAATTTCGTTTAAGAAGCGGTGGAACTTTATGGCATATGAGGGTAAATTATAAGTCGCTATAACAACTGGCATATTTATTTTAAGCAACAAAACTCTCAAAGTCAAACCAACTTAATCCATTCTCGTATAGTTTCATCTTTTCAAGACGCTCTTTATTTTGCTAAACAATCCGCTTCGTTTTCCCACAACGTGAAACACACAAAAAACGAGCAAACGCAGCAAAACACACACAAAAAACTGAGTGAATAGATTTCGCAGCGTTGTGTGTGTGTTTATCCTCCTACACACACACAGACGCACACGCACAGACACACACACACACACACACGCACACGCACACACAAACACACACACACACACACACACACCTCATAAATCTTGCATCGCCGTAAACGACAGCGTGAGTCCTGAATAATAAAAACGTGAGAGACGTAACGTGGGTGCGCGCGCGGAGGATGCACAGTCTAATCCTGGACCTGGTCTCGCGGACACGGGGCCTTCTTCGCCCCAAACGCAGACATGGCAAGTATCCGAGTACTTTTACTGCAGTACTGTCTCGTGTTTACTCGAGTATTTCCGTTTCTAACTTAGAATTTCACTCTTCGCTTTGAAAGGTGCGTGCTCTTTGCTCTCTGCCTCTATGGTGGTTAGCCATGCTTCTAAGATCAGTTGTGAGGTGGTTAGCCATACTTCTAAGATCAGTTGTGAGGTGGTTAGCCATGCTTCTAAGATTAGGTGTGAGGTGGTTAGCCATGCTTCTAAGATCAGTTGTGAGGTGGTTAGCCATACTTCTAAGATCAGTTGTGAGGTGGTTAGCCATGCTTCTAAGATTAGGTGTGAGGTGGTTAGCCATACTGTACTACAGTCCCTTGGTACAGTAGTATTTGAAGTACTTTGAACAGTACTCTTGGTACAGTAGTATTTGAAGTACTTTGAACAGTACAGTAGTATTTGAAGTACTTTAAACAGTACTCTTGGTACAGTAGTATTTGAAGTACTTTGAGCAGTACTCTTGGTACAGTAGTATTTGAAGTACTTTAAACAGTACTCTTGGTATAGTAGTATTTGTAGTACTGTAGTACTCACTTTGCAGTGAGTTTATGTCGTGTTTACAAAATGTTTAAAACGTGTGTTATTCATACAGGAGTCTAAAGTTAAAGTCTAAAGTTAAAGTCTAAAGTTAAAGTCTAAAGTTAAAGTCTAAAGTTAAAGTCTAAAGTTAAAGTCAAAGTTAGTAAGTAAGTAAGTTAAAGTCTAAAGTTAAAGTCTAAAGTTAAAGTCTAAAGTTAAAGTCTAAAGTTAAAGTCTAAAGTTAAAGTCAAAGTTAGTAAGTAAGTAAGTTAAAGTCTAAAGTTAAAGTCAAAAGTTGAAGTCTAAAGTTAAAGTCAAAAGTTGAAGTCTAAAGTTAAAGTCTAAAGTTAAAGTCTAAAGTTAAAGTCAAAGTTAGTAAGTAAGTAAGTTAAAGTCTAAAGTTAAAGTCAAAGTTAAAGTCTAAAGTTAAAGTCTAAAGTTAAAGTCAAAGTTAGTAAGTAAGTAAGTTAAAGTCTAAAGTTAAAGTCAAAGTTAAAGTCAAAGTTAAAGTCAAAGTTAGTAAGTAAGTAAGTTAAAGTCTAAAGTTAAAGTCAAAGTTAAAGTCAAAGTTAAAGTCAAAGTTAGTAAGTAAGTAAGTTAAAGTCTAAAGTTAAAGTCAAAGTTAAAGTCAAAGTTAAAGTCAAAGTTAAAGTCAAAGTTAAAGTCAAAGTTAGTAAGTAAGTAAGTTAAAGTCTAAAGTTAAAGTCTAAAGTCTAAATGAACCCAAAGTATACTAAAGTTAGTAAGCTTTAGTTTTGGTTCTGCTTTGAACCAAAACTAAATCATTTCTTTTGATGAAGTAACGACGTCATAGAGACTGTGGA